AACAACTTTTATGAAGAAAAAGAAGAGCAGATAAATTTGAAAAACCGCCGCTTAAAGTTAGATTCTACGGTCTTCATAAGCGCATCATATCACCTTCCTGTCTTACGACCAAACCTGATAATGCACATGCTTTTAAAATGCCGCACAATTAAAGCAGTACACAGAAAGTTCAATTTTGTTGAGCACTAATTAATACGAGTTATAATGAAAATGTTAACTCGTAATAAAACACATGCATTTGCTTGTGTAAATTTCAAGCAAAACAAATTCAAGAACCACATCTGTCTTCATTATCATGTTGAAAAAGCAATTTGACTTCATTTACGAAAACAAAACTACATTAAAACGAAGCTGCACTTCAGAGGAAATTCTAAAAAAAAACAGTCAAAAGACAGTTGGAAAAAGTCAATAAAAGCAAGTAAACAGAAAAAAAAAATTACTTTCAAACTTCAGAAAAAGTCTCGAAAGTTTTTGAAGTTCTAGAACAATTTATGACTGACAACATGTGACAAAATTACCCCAATTTGGGGAAAAAAAGATCAAAATAACTTTTTTATTTTGCTGGAAAACCTGATAAAGCAAATACATTTTCGAAATTAGAAGTCAATCAAGTTTTTCGTGACCTTTACACTTTCGCGATTCGATAGTAGTTTTTTCCCTTTAAAGAAAGGAAACGAATTGAACTTAATGAAAAATCAAAAGTCAATGCTTTTGAAATGCCGCAAATTAAAAACATTACACCGAAAGTTCAATTTTTGTGAGCACTAATTAATCCGAGTTATATTGAAAATGTTAGCTCATAATAAAACACATGCATTTGCTTGTGCATTCTAAGGCAAAAACAGTTTCAAGAACCACATCTGTCTCTACTATCATGTTGAAAAAAGAAATTTGATTTCATTTACGGAAACAAAATTACACACAAACGAAGCTGGCTTCACAGAGAAAATTCCAAAAAAAGAACAGTCAACAGACAGTTAGAAAAAGTCAATAAAAGCAAGTAAACACAAAAAAACTGAATTAATTTTTGAAAACAATTTGTACTTTCAAACTTCAAAAAATTTCTTGAAGCTTTTTGAAGTTCAAGATCAATTTATGACTGACAAAATTACCCCAATTTGGGAAAAATGGATCAAAATAACTTTTTTATTTCGCTGGGAAATCTGATAATTAAAATCCATTTCCAAAATTAGAAGTCAATCACGTTTTGCGTGACCTTTACACTTTTGCTATTCGATAGTAAATTTTCCCTTTAAACAAAGGAAACTAACTGAACTTAATGAAAATCAAAAGCCAAAACCGCGAAAAAGTCATCTTGAGCCCGAACAACTTTTATGAAGAAAAAGAAGAGCAGATAAATTTGAAAAACCGCCGCTTAAAGTTAGATTCTACGGTCTTCATAAGCGCATCATATCACCTTCCTGTCTTACGACCAAACCTGATAATGCACATGCTTTTAAAATGCCGCACAATTAAAGCAGTACACAGAAAGTTCAATTTTGTTGAGCACTAATTAATACGAGTTATAATGAAAATGTTAACTCGTAATAAAACACATGCATTTGCTTGTGTAAATTTCAAGCAAAACAAATTCAAGAACCACATCTGTCTTCATTATCATGTTGAAAAAGCAATTTGACTTCATTTACGAAAACAAAACTACATTAAAACGAAGCTGCACTTCAGAGGAAATTCTAAAAAAAAACAGTCAAAAGACAGTTGGAAAAAGTCAATAAAAGCAAGTAAACAGAAAAAAAAAATTACTTTCAAACTTCAGAAAAAGTCTCGAAAGTTTTTGAAGTTCTAGAACAATTTATGACTGACAACATGTGACAAAATTACCCCAATTTGGGGAAAAAAAGATCAAAATAACTTTTTTATTTTGCTGGAAAACCTGATAAAGCAAATACATTTTCGAAATTAGAAGTCAATCAAGTTTTTCGTGACCTTTACACTTTCGCGATTCGATAGTAGTTTTTTCCCTTTAAAGAAAGGAAACGAATTGAACTTAATGAAAAATCAAAAGTCAATGCTTTTGAAATGCCGCAAATTAAAAACATTACACCGAAAGTTCAATTTTTGTGAGCACTAATTAATCCGAGTTATATTGAAAATGTTAGCTCATAATAAAACACATGCATTTGCTTGTGCATTCTAAGGCAAAAACAGTTTCAAGAACCACATCTGTCTCTACTATCATGTTGAAAAAAGAAATTTGATTTCATTTACGGAAACAAAATTACACACAAACGAAGCTGGCTTCACAGAGAAAATTCCAAAAAAAGAACAGTCAACAGACAGTTAGAAAAAGTCAATAAAAGCAAGTAAACACAAAAAAACTGAATTAATTTTTGAAAACAATTTGTACTTTCAAACTTCAAAAAATTTCTTGAAGCTTTTTGAAGTTCAAGATCAATTTATGACTGACAAAATTACCCCAATTTGGGAAAAATGGATCAAAATAACTTTTTTATTTCGCTGGGAAATCTGATAATTAAAATCCATTTCCAAAATTAGAAGTCAATCACGTTTTGCGTGACCTTTACACTTTTGCTATTCGATAGTAAATTTTCCCTTTAAACAAAGGAAACTAACTGAACTTAATGAAAATCAAAAGCCAAAACGGCGAAAAAGTCATCTTGAGCCCGAACAACTTTTATGAAGAAAAAGAAGAGCAGATAAATTTGAAAAACCGCCGCTTAAAGTTAGATTCTACGGTCTTCATAAGCGCATCATATCACCTTCCTGTCTTACGACCAAACCTGATAATGCACATGCTTTTAAAATGCCGCACAATTAAAGCAGTACACAGAAAGTTCAATTTTGTTGAGCACTAATTAATACGAGTTATAATGAAAATGTTAACTCGTAATAAAACACATGCATTTGCTTGTGTAAATTTCAAGCAAAACAAATTCAAGAACCACATCTGTCTTCATTATCATGTTGAAAAAGCAATTTGACTTCATTAACGAAAACAAAACTACATTAAAACGAAGCTGCACTTCAGAGGAAATTCTAAAAAAAAACAGTCAAAAGACAGTTGGAAAAAGTCAATAAAAGCAAGTAAACAGAAAAAAAAAATTACTTTCAAACTTCAGAAAAAGTCTCGAAAGTTTTTGAAGTTCTAGAACAATTTATGACTGACAACATGTGACAAAATTACCCCAATTTGGGGAAAAAAAGATCAAAATAACTTTTTTATTTTGCTGGAAAACCTGATAAAGCAAATACATTTTCGAAATTAGAAGTCAATCAAGTTTTTCGTGACCTTTACACTTTCGCGATTCGATAGTAGTTTTTTCCCTTTAAAGAAAGGAAAAGAATTTAACTTAATAAAAAATCAAAAGTCAAACCGCTAAAAAGTATGCTTGACCCTGAAAAACTTTTGTGACTTTTTCATCACGACCTATCTTATGTAAGAATCTGAATTACGTTCAATGATTCTTAACAAAATTGGAACAAATCTATCAAAAAATGGAGCTTTATAAAAAAACACATGCCAAGGCTATAGAAAGCAATATTTGCAATGGAACAAAATTTAACAAGCGGCAACAAACTTGAGCAGATACACTTAAATCCGAAAAAAAAATCAAAGACCTTAAAACATTTATTAGTCCCCCCTCGAAGCACACACACACGGAAAATCAAAACAATCACTCCTCAAATGACGCAAAATTTGGTCAATGAGCCGATCTAAACAAGGAAATGTATGAAGCCAAAAAAAGCTAACAACAAAACTTGAAATTTTAGCAAACCGATTTGGTAAAATTAGAACCAACAGAAAAATTTCCACTACGAGGCGAAGCTTCGTTTTGCAAACGATTGCGAGAATACGACCAAAAAGCAGCTCTGTCAAGTTAAATAATAAAAAAAACTAAGCCTCGAGTTACCAAAAACTCGGCTACGTGTCGGATTCGAATCAGCAACCTAGCAAATTTGTACCTAACGCACTAACCACTGATGCTTAAAATCCCCAAAACTAGCCACCAATAACGCAGATACATATGCTAATAAATTTCCAATTCGATGCAGCAAAAGTAGCACTAAATACAAAAATACACAATTGTGCAAGTAACAAATTGGAAAGCATAAAGCCAAATTGTATAAATTATGCATTTCAAATATATGCGAGATCCATTGAGTTTGAAAATTTCTGAAATCGAGCTTTTCATCATTGTACTGCTGCTCGAAATAACTTTTTTCGGTTCATTTGATGAACTAAAAATGCATCAGCTGTGTTAACTTGTTACTAATCAAATTTTAAAGCACATATGATATTATACTGCTACCGCAACCTACCGAATTCAAAATTGCCACCAAAAGTAGCACTTTTATTTGCAATTTAGGTTGGAAAAAAAGAAAGTTTGTACTAATACCCTTTGCTTCGCAATTGTAAGTAGGGCGGATATTTAGAATGCTAACCTGGTCAAAATATATCTGTTGCAGTATTTCCAACAGAGGGGACCAGGAGATAAGCCCCTGAACAAAGTTATTTCCGGTAAAATGTCTAGTACCCGGTTGCAACTGACTTGCTATCGCAAGTAAAAAAATACATTAATAAGCTCAGAAAGACAACATGAACCCACAACGGGATTCGAACCTCGGAATTCCGAATTGTGAAACATGCGTCTTCCTGGCCAAGCTGATTTATAGAGTAAAAAACGTGCTGCCAAATCACTCGCCAATAAAACAGCACAAATTGCAAAACTACGAAGTGAAAAAAGTTGTCTTATACAGGAAAAAGTCTAGTTTCCGATTTAATAACATTTATTAATAGCTAGTGTAATTATGCATTTCACAGAGAAAACCTTATTCATGTAACCTTTCATTTTCAAAGTCACGTTCCCACTTTCGAAGGTTCAAGCAACCGAAGGTTCAAACAAGGAAAAAGTGTCAACAAACTTGGACAATATATGCTGTTTTGTCAATCTTGAACTCAGTGGGAAAAGTAAAAGAGTCTAATATGAAAAACAACTTTATAAAAACGAGAACCTTACCCCGTCGTAGACCCATCTGCAGGCATCTATGAACTCATTCTCATCCATAGTCCCACTCTTATTCACAGCCAGACTCTCCATCGCATTCTCAACCACCTTACTATAATGAGGCATGATATTATCTCGAAACGCATACACTGCCTGCATAGTTTCGTCTGTGTATGCACTGGGCTGCAAAGCGTCCATTTCTTGACTCACTACATGACAGATTCTGTTAGCTCGACCTCGAACCACCGCCGCTGTTTTGTCCAATTCTTCGCCTTCCCTGTCTTGCAGTGCGAACACGCACTTGTTTACGTCATCCAACATGTGACTCTCAGAAACCGACAAGAAATCTTCAATCGTCAGAATATTATCAACCGAAGCAATCAGAATTCTCATTTGCGTTTCCCATGCAGCTTTGAACACCTCCATGTTTTCATTGGCCACTTTATTTCGAGGACTTATGCTCAGAATCTTCGCCGCATTTATGACTTGAGGGTACAGTGTTTCAATTTCCCGAACTGAATACCGTACCAACTTCACGCCTTCTACGTCGCTACTCATTGTACAAGCGAGATCCGCTACCTCAATGATTTTCTTCGTATGCTCCTCAAAAACAGCGGCGAAATCTGGAAACAATTTACCATTTCCCTGTTTTGCCGTTTCAAACATCATTAGAATCGGGACGTCGGTTTGGGCGAATGAATCCGACACATGATCAACAACTGCTCGTCGTAACTGACGTCTCAAGTCTTTGGACTTTTTCTGCGTTTTACCCAGCTTCAATTCCAGTTCTCGACTCTGCTCGGTCTTTCCCGCATCTTTCTCGTAGCCACTCAACAGATCCTGTAATGCTTGACGAACTCCATTGCATTCGTTTACGATTCGTTCTCGTCTCGCGTCCCGTGTATTCGGCCGGTCGGCCATGTGAGCAGCAGAAGATATTATGGTCTCCAGTCGCTTTTCCAGAACAGGCCTTGATACCGAATCCTTATAAGTTGCGGTATCCGTAACACATCTGCGGTCAAAATCGTCCATTGCTGCAGCTAAGAACCCGGGCCCATCTTTGTTTCTATTAACCCCCGATGGCTTGTTAGTTGTCACTTTACCAATAGTGTTCACGGCGTTTTCCATTTGTTCGAATGCAAAGTCACGATTGCCTCTTGCTTCGGGCGCGTTCGGGTTACTGATGTATGCTTTAGAAGCAGTCAATAACATCATGCTATTCTTCTTCATCGTTGCTCTCGCAGATGCCATGTCGTCTCTTTGCTGCGGATCTTTCAGGTCCATTTGTCTGTAATATGCCTTGTGATCTAATTCCATCATATCTTCACCAAACGTTTGAAACTTCGATGTCAACTCTTGCTGCGAATTCGCCTTTTTCATTGTATCTAAATCCTCCCGCACTACTTTCAAGGAGTTCAATAGAACATGGACGTCAACCATGTCAGCAATGATAAGAAGTCTTGTAACTGCCGAAAGAAGCTCTCGTGAAGCCTTCACGAGATGTTTCCGAACATTGGCCGACAAGGGATCCTCGCAGAAATCAGTAGTCACAACTCGCATTTTATCGCCCGAAGACTTGACATCGTCAAGAGCTTTCATGATATCATTTTCCACAACCGGGTTCTCTTTTGCGATTTGCTCTGCCTTTGATATAAACTCAGCAGTTGCTCTTTCAATTGCTAGAGATAATACATGGGCGTTTTTGGATTTTCCCTTCTTGAGTCCCGAGTCTCCGTTTGTGTTCATAAGGGCAGTCACTTTGTTCACAAGGGGTTCTAGAGCCAGTTGTATGGACTTTGTATGGACTTCGACTGCCTGTGGATCCCATTTTATGTCCAGAGACATCTGTTCAAGGTTCCCTGGGGAATTCATATATGGCTGAAAACGAATGTGTGTGAACTAACATTGAAAGATACCTCATAGAAAGCGTCTTAACATTTCTCCTGAAGGGCGCTTAAAATAGTTACATTAAATTTCACTCAATGCGCGTTAAAAAAGTCACAAGATTTTATTACTGGACAAGATCGATGTCCGAAGCCACGAAAACGTTTGAATCTAAAACTAAGAAACAACAGCGGTACCAAGTTTTAATACTCAAGAGTCATAAAACACATGATTGACTCTGAAAACGCTGAGTGAATAAAAATGGTTAATTTTAATTGACACTAGTAGGCCTGTTCAACTGCATGTCTAATCGTAGAATTATTCAGCAATAAGTCTTTCACAGTTCATAAAGAGTGAATTTCTCTAACCAAAAAGTTTTGCGTATGGAAAAAATTACTAAACCAATGTGAAGGGAATAAGCTAAAAAAAAACAAGCTAATTAAAGGATTAGAAGTTAAATTATTGTTGCGATTGCTTGAATTCAGGGACGGGTTTAGGTGGTACTATTTTGAGATATCCAGTTTTGGTGACGTACCCTAAAATTTTTCTAAGGGCGCCAATATATACTAATTTTGAGGGGGGAGCGCGCGCCGAAAAACGCGATTTTTTGGTCAATATTTTCCAAAAAAAAAGCCTAAAAAGTCTTTTTTGGCCTGTTTTTTCAAAATTTTGCATGCGGCGCAGAAAATCTGGCCAAAACAGTGTCTTTTTAGTGCTTTGGCACAGCTCGGAAAAACAATTTGGTCGACCTAAAAAAAAAGTTCGACAAAATTTTCTAATTTTTTTTGAAAATCCGTCCCCCCCTCTAGAAAATCCTAGATCCGCCCCTGCTTGAATTGGTCACAAAATAAAGTTATTTCAAAACAAACAGCTCAAGGAGTCAAAAAAATTGCAAAAAAAAACACTATTTTTTTCCAAGACTTAGGTTCAGCCGAGACAATTTCAAACGTTTCAAATGGAATATAAAGCCTTGTATAATCAACATAAAGCTCAGTTTCTCATAAAAAAAAATTTGACATAGCAAAAAAAGTCAAGTGGACTTCAGATATTTGACGTGATTTAGGAACAATTTGACATGAAGTCCTATATAAAGCGATATTCTTGACAAACGATTTGAATGCCTTCAACTGATTCGTACAAGATTTTCACGCACGCAATTTGATTGAAGAAACTTTTTAAGTAATTCAAAAGGATCCTAAAGGCTGGAATTTAATCACAGATAAGTTTTTGAAGCAACCAAGCAACTTCAAAGTTGTTTTCATAGCCTGAATTTGTTGGTATTGAAAATTTCAAGCAAACTAATGGAACAAACAATGAAAGTTCTTTTTTGATAGGTCGAATGGGTTGACTGAAGGATTAAATTCAACAAATGAAGAAAATTTGATTTTTTTTTCATAAAGCTTCGATGGCTTTGAGTGTTTCGCGAAAAAATTCCAAGACAAGATCTAGAAGGATCAAAAGCGTTCAAAATTACGTTTCGGGTTTTTTAGTTAGCACAAATTGGTTCGCTCAGGTTTTTGAAGCAAGCCTTTCAAGTGAAACTGGAAATATTTCAGTTTGACTCTAAACGGTTCATGCTCTAATTCATCCCTGCAGTTTCTCGCTTGATAACCTTTAAATACTTTAATTCAATTTGATAGCTTGAATTCATGCACAATAATTATTTCATATTATAATAGTTCTTTTTGAAAGTTTTTAAAATTTTCAAGTTCATTTTGATAGCTTGATATGTTTTGCAATAATTCTAATTTTTTCATGCAGGTAAACCAAAAATTTCAGGATGCTATTGATAGCTTGAAATGATTGGCAGAAAATACTTAAAAAACGAGCAGGCAAGCAAATCAAGCAATCAATTTGAAAGATTTCAAATTGATTAAAAGATTTTAAACGATCCTCGAAATTTAGATTGTTCAACTAAGCAAGTGAAGCGATGAAACAATGAAATAACTCAAATTGTTTTGATAAAATAATTAATTCGCGAAAAGCTATATTTATTTCATATAAGCTTTCCAAGCGATGAAACTTCGGGTTGTTTCGATAACTCATTTCAGTTCGCAAAAAGCTTGTCTGAGAAAACAATTTAAGCAATGAAGATAATAATTATAACTCAAATTGATACATAGAAAATTTCAAGCTTTCAAGGGAAAAAATTTTAAGTCAGTTCGAAAAAATTACAAATTATTAAGGAAGCTTTTGAGCAAAGAACCTTTGAAATATTTGTTTTGATACCGCTCGAATCAATTCGAATAAATCAAATTTTTTCCAGCCAGCAAAAAGTTTTTCAAGCAAGCTTTTCAAGCAATGAAACTGAAATATTTCGAAATATTTTGAAAACCTCGCAAACAGCTTGCTTGAAAAAAATTCCTAAGCTAGGTTTTACAGCAAAAAAAAGATAAAATTATCACTTCAGTTCGCTCGTTTCAAAAATCAAGAAACTTCTACAGATTGAAAAATTAACTGTCAACCGTTTATTCTACGAGTCTTTTAAATATAAACATGAGCGAACTGTTTATATGAACAAAAAGAATAAAAAAACTTTTTTCATTAAATGTTAAAAAGCAAAAAAACATGGAATTTTATTTAGCAACGCTAAGATTATATTTAAAATTTGGGCTATTATAGAACTCGAGATTTAAAAGACTAAGATTCGGTCAAAGCTGGATAGCAGCAAAACAATCTGCAAACCAATGGAGCAAAATCAAAAAAAGTTTTAAGAGTTGATCTGCAAAAGAAATGTCTTTAACTTAACTACAAATCATTAGTCAACCAAAATATGATCAGCGGTAGGGCATGGAGCGGATGGCCGGTTAAAATATGTAAACGGCAATGTTGGTCAACAGCGGTCACTACTAGTAAACATTCAGTTCTCTTTTTGAACACTTTCCGAAATTTTTGTTTGAAAGACATCATTCATCTTCCTTATATTTCTTTTCAAAAATTGTTATACATCACAAAAATTAGAAACTTAGCCGGTTAACCGGTTGATTGCACCACGTAAACCGGTTAGACTAAGAAATTAACAACTTTATGCCTTAGCCAGTAGAAAATTGAATGAACACAATGACATGTCTTGATAATTCAAAAATCAGAATTATCACTCTTTGAATACTTCAAATAATTTATCAACTTTGAGTTTTTTGACTGTCTCATTATTCAAATGCTGATCCGATATCTCCAAAAATTGCTAGCTACTAAAGTGATGTCCATGCACACAAAATCAACAAATTTCCTACAATGGAAAAAATACTAATTCTAAACAGGAGCGGATTTAGGAGGGAACGGCAACCCGCAACAACTTAAGGTTTAGAAGCCTATTCACTGAAAGATTCGACACCCTTTTTGATCTAATTTTCAATATGCATTTTTTGGCCGTTGACCCCTCAAATTTTTCCAAAGCACCAATACAATCTACTATTGATATCAATGCGCGCAAGAAAAAAACGAGATTTTCCAGTCAACACTGACATGATTACCCGCAGAAATAATCATTTCTAAGTTATCGAGTTCTGCTAGTGTTTTCGTTGCCAGGCTTAAATTCTGTGCGATAATAAACACAGCATATATTTAAGTTCAATAGCACAAAAAGTTCAATTCACGTTCCTATGCAATTTGGGAGAGCCATTTGATCCACTAAAATTGAGTGAGTTATCCATGTACTTTTGTCTTTTTTCAAAACAGGTTTATTCGAGCAGAATTATTTCTTTTAAATGAGATGAAATGCAAAGCAAGCAGCCTAAGCAGACAACTGAAAAAGTGGCGATTCTTTTATTCAAACCTCGAGGCACACAAAAAAAATTGATTCACTGTTGAGATCTTTCAGTTTCAAGAAACTTAACCGCCGAACCTTTCTTGATAATACCAACCCGATTTAAAACTTTGAGGCAAAGCTGCAATTCTCAAACAAGCAAAATTTGGCTAATGGGAGCTTTAAATCCAAATAAAAACAAGGGAAACCTTAGGAAACCAAAAAAGTTTGCTGCCTTCCCCTACCTCCAGGATTAAAGTTAAATTTCTTCACAACTGTGCCATAATACCACCAGTCTTCCAAACATCCGCCACAATTCAAGCGGATAAAACACAGACCATCAAAGTGCCAAATACAAACATGGCCAATCGAAAATTGGAAAAGAGTAATGAAAGCAAGTAAACAAAAAAAACACTTTGTTGAAAAAATCTCAAGTTTCGAATTTCAAAGAAAAAATAGATGCCCTTTAAGCTCTTTGAATTTCTAGAACAATTTATGACTGGCGCTTTTTTGATAACATTAACCCAACTTGAGATAGGACAATATAAAATTACCTAACAATTTTAAATCATTTAGCAAGAACCAAAACAACTAGGATCAAATAGACCACATACCTCAGCTGAAAAAACTTAAAACGTTTCTTCTGAAAACAATAGAATTTTGAAAATGATAAATTTCAGAAAACAATTACAGAACCATTCAAAGTCTAATAAGATGTAGAAACAACTTAGAAACACTGCTAAAAACAAATAAATGATTTTTAAAAGTTCTGAAGCCGTCAAACAAACGCCGATTTTAATTCCTAAAAAAAGAAACTCCGCTCAGATATCAACAAGTTTAAAGAAAGAGAAAGTTGAAAAAAACCTCAACAAAAAGATGCAATTTAACTAATATTGATAAAAAAATGAATGAGTCTGGAAACGTATCAATATTATCTGGAAGCGAACAAAATTAAATAGAACGATTTTTTTTCAATTCCCAACGAAAAAACTAAAACATTGAAAAGATATTTCGTTGCAATTTACCAACATGCATCTACTTTAAGCTAAAGGAATACAAGTTAATCAGGAAAAGTAGCAGACAGCATCTCAAGTTGGCCAAGTAAAACAACAAATACGTCTAGCAATTTTGAACAAACTAACCGAAAACTTTGAGTTGATTTAATTCTGACTAGATAGGACTGCAGGCTTGCTTAGTCTTTATTTTTCAAATAAAATGGCCAACTTTAAGGGTTAGAATCCAATAAAAA